CATCAGAATGTGACGTTATTTGGACACAAGAGTCTTTGTAGATGTCATTAGTTAAGATGAGGTCACACTAGAGTAGGGAGGGCCTGAAAACCAAAGTCATGTTTTTTCACTTGAGGCGGTGTGGTTCTGCTGAAGTCTTCCCATCCTCCCTGACCAGGTCTGTGTTAGGTTCTCTTAAAATCAATGGAAGTGGAACAGTGACCTAAATATAAGAGCTGAAACAAAAACTGTCCGAAGAACACATAAGGGTAAATCTTCATGACCTTAAATTTGGCAGGGGATTCTTAGATTTAACACCAAAAGCACAAGCAATGAAAGAAAAAACATTAGATAAATTGGAATTCAGAAAAATATAAACTTTTGTTCAACAAAAGATGTTGCCCACACATCAGGCGGGTTTTGTTGCTTAGCAGGTGGCAGCCCAATGGCCACAACCAGGGAGGATTTAGAAGGGAATTTTATTACTTACAACAAGTAAAGAGAACACAGGGGGTAGCTCTCAAAGCTATGTCTCCCTGAGCTGGGGTCTGGGTCAGGTTTTATAAGGATAGGGTAAGGTGGCATGATCTGATTGGATCTTGCAATGAAGAGAAGTTGGGAGGCAGGATCTGATGGGGTCCTGCTATGTATTGTTCCTGTTTTTTAATTCCATTCCCATTCCTTGGTCCAAGCACTTAGATTTCCCTTGTGGTTGCACACTTGGTTCATCTGGGCATGCTCAGGTTACATAACCTTCAACCTGAGGGTCCATGGCAACTGAGAAACAGCTCACAACTTTGCTACATAAAAGTTAAACAATATTCGTCTGACGCAGTTACAAGGGCATTAGCAAGAAAGTAAAAAGACAACCTATAGAATGGGAAAAAAATATTTGCAAATTATATATCTGATAAGGAGCTAACATTCAGAATATTCAAAGAATTCTTACAACAGAACGATACAAAGATATACAACCCGATTAAAGTACTTGAATGGATATTTCTCTCAAATAGTTATACAAATGAGCAAAAAACTAATGAAGTGACGTTTTGAGATTTTTTCTTTGTTTGTTTGACTTGTTTGTTCTTAGAAACAGAGTCTTGCTCTGTCACCAGACTGGAGTGCAGTGGCATGATCACGGATCAATACAAGCTCAAACTCAAGGGCTCAAGCAATCCTATGCCTTGGCCTCCCAAGGATTACAGGCATGAGTCACCATGCCCAGCCAATGAAGAGAGATTTAACATAACTGTCCATTAATGTGATGCGAATCAAAACTGCAATGAGTTAACACTTCAAATCCACTGGGATAGCTATTAATATATTAAAAGACAAAAACATCAAAATATGAAAAATAACAAGTGTTGGTAATGATGTGAAGAAATATGAGCAAGGCAGGAGAACTCCAAAATCGGGGCTTAGCCCAGAAAGATTCTTGACTTCACTTAGGAAAGAATTTGAGAGTGAGAGGGTGGCAGAAGAAAACAGCTTTATTAGGGAGGCAGCGTTACGACTCTGTGACTGCTCCTGCACAGCACAGCTACCCTATGGGCAATGTGCTGAGAATAGCAGCTCAGGAGCAGTTCTGCAGTCATATTTAATTATCCACTTGTAATTATATGCAAACTAAGGAGCAGGTTTTCAGATATTTTTACAAAAGGAGTGGTAACTTCCAGGCCATTGCCATGGAAAAAGGCAGTAATTTTCAGGTGTTGCCATGGCAATGCTAAACTGTCATGGCACTGGTGATTGTGTTTTCTGGTGCCTCTTCCCTGTTTCAGTCAGTCTTCAGTCTGGTCCAGAGTCAAGTCCCACCTCCTACCTCACTGGGAATGTAACATGGTACAGCCACTATGGAGAACAGTTTGGCAGTTCCACAAAAAAGTTAAACAGTGAGTACTATGTGACCCAGCAATTCTACTCCTAGGTCTGTACTCAAAATAACTGAAAATAGATAAACAAATATTTGTTCATGCATGTTTATATCAACCCTATTCACAACAGTCAAAAGGTGGAAACAACCCAACTATTCATCAACAGAAATGGATAAACGAAATATAGTACATCCACTCAATGGAATATTATTCAGCCACAAAAAAGAACAAAGTATTGATTCATTCCACAACTTAGATGAACCTTGAAAACATGTTAAATGGAAGAAGCCAGACACAAAAGGTGCCTATTATATTTTTATATAAAATATTCAGAGAAGCCAAATTACCAGAGACAAAGCAAATTACATTGCCAGTAGATGAGGAAGAAGCAACTAGGGAAGGATTACTTCATAGATATGGGGTATTCTCCTGGGGTTATTTTTTAAAAAGCATTGAAACTCAAGAGAAGTGGTGCTTGCACAACATTATGAATGCATTAAATGGCACTTATACATTAAATTGTATACTTTTTGTTTTAATGTTTTTGTAGAGATAGAGTCTCACTGTTTGCCCAGGCTGGTCTCTAACTCCTGACCTCAAGTGACCCTCCTGCCTCAGCTTCCCAAAGCTCTCAGATTACAGACATGAACCACTGCACCTAGCCTGAATTTTATTATTTTAAATGTTTGATTTTACATGATGTGAGTTTCACTTCAATAAAAATAATGAATGAATGAATAAATAAATAAATGATTTTTTAAAGGTTATGGAGAAAGAATAGTGAATTGATGGACTCCTAGGAAACACTGATATTGCTATCTCATGGAACTCTGTAGCATATCATCACAGGTGTATATGTTGGCAGCATGGCTCTGGTGCCGATGACCTGGGTCCATATCCTAGCTCTGCCTCTTGCTAGCTGAACAATCTTGGGCAATTTACCTAGCTCCTGTGCCTCAGTTGTCTCATCTGTAAATGGAAATAATACCATTATTGTAAGAGGACTGTGAGAACTGAATCAGTTAATACATGTGAAGTGCTTAGATCAGGCCTGGTTTGTGTTAAGTGCTCCGCAGAGCCGAGCCATTCTTATTCCTAAAAGTTTAGGAATTTCGGTCTAACTTTGCCACTTTCTGCCACATCTACCTACTCAGTGCCCTGTCATGTTTATGTTTAAGCTCAGGGTATATTTGTGAGGTAGGTAAATGGGGCCACATCCAACCTGGGGGCATTTAAACTCCATGGAAAAATTGCTTACCAAGCAAGAGCATTTTATGACAACCGCTAGTTCTAGGAACAGAGTTGAAAAGAACACAGGATGAAGGAACAGGTGAAAAGAATATAGGGTGAAGGAATAACAAGGGGAGAATAAGCAGAACTCTGGCCCTACCAAGATCTTGGGAATATCCAAGTGAGCCTCCCATCCTGTTTGGCAACATTAAATTAAAGGTTTTTCTCCCTTCCACCTCCCTCACCTCCACGACTATGGCCACAGATGCTGCAAGAAACAGTAGAACTAACCCAACATTAGGAATTTGCATATTCTTTCTATATGGCTATTTAGTTAATACTTTTATTTAAATGGACTTCCTTTTTTTCTTCAATAAAGTTATTTGTAGGAAATTGTATATTACTACTCTAAGTAACAACTGCCAGTCAAATTCAGACATCCACCTGTTTTTTCAAATAAAGTTTTATTGTAACACAGCCATGCCCATTCTTTTTGTATTGTCAATGGCTGCCTTTGTGCCACAACCAGAGTTAAGTAGTTGTGACCTGCAAAGCCAAAAATCTGAATAATCTTGGGCAACTTACTTGGTTAAAATCAAGCCCTTGTGACCTGCAAAACCAAAAATATTTAGTAAGTGGCTCTCTGAAGAAGAAAGTTTGTCTGTCCCTTCTCTAAGTGAAAAACCAGTGCCGCTTACCTTAACTAGAAAGAAAAAGTAAAAATAAATATTTGAGAAACAAACTATTTAAAAGATTTTAAAAATTAAAAATATTTAAAATATTAAATTCTTAGATTCTCTTTTTTCCACTCAAAAAGTATTTGTCCATCCTATTCATGCAGTCATTCTCTATCTGATACTTAAGAAAGAATGCAAGGTCCTGGGTTGAGGAGATGAACAACCAGGGATTCATATTTCGGTGGGAAGAGACAGACACTGAAAACCCAAGTATCCAAGTTTACCTTTAGTTTTTATTGCAACAGAAAATCACAAACAACACAATGTGTAGTGGGGTGACTGTGTGTTGAGCAGATGATCATGTTGATTGGGGGTCTAGAGAGACTTGTCTGAGAAGGTGAATTGGGCACAAACTCTAGCATTCCTGAAAGAGAACATGAAATGCAAAGGCCCTAGGGCCTGAGGCTAGTATGGGCTTGATAGATTTTTTTTCCTAGGCAACTGGATCCCATAGCAGCCATCTCTGATATCGTCCCCAGTATTCTCTGGTAGCTATGATTTGACTTGGTCAGAATGTGTTTTGGAGGGCTGTAGATCAGCTTTACTGGTTTCGGGGAGGGACTGGGCATAAAGCAAGATTCTGAACCGCCTCTAGGGAGATCTGTGAAGTAAGGGGTCCCAGCTGTGTTCTCTGGAAGCAGATGCTGAGGTGGACTTTAGGTGCATGTTTATTAGGGATCATCACTTGTGGGAGGCGGTAGAAGAAGGATTGGGGGAGGGAGATATTAAATGTGATGCAGTGTGACAAGGTCTTGGCCAAACTGGTGGGAAGCTCTGAAGTGTGTATTGCTGGTCATCCCATCCTGGGTCAAGCAGAAATGGCCAGGCCTGTGTACTCCATCTTGCCCAGTCACTGGAGGTGGGCTGCCCTGAGAAGTGTGACCTTGAGCAAGTTTGTTCTCTGCAGCCGAGGTCAACGCCAAGGGAGCTGACAGCTGGAAACCATCTGCTGACCACACACCCGTAGCTGGGCAAGAAGTCCTGCCCTGAACAGGGGTCTGGGCAGCACACTTCCCGGCTGTCCACGTAGAGGAAAGGCCCTGCTGTTCCGCCCTGAACACCACTCCCATTCTTTCCAGAACCTCATAGCCAGCTGCCTAGAAGGGTTTGAAAATGACCTGAAGAGTAAATCCTAGCTAAGGTATCAGCTGGAACAACTTACTGCACAAGTTTTTTCTCACAGAACTCGAAGACGGGAGCCATCAGGACCCAATCAATAAGCAAATTTATTCATTCAGGCAACTGATAAGAAATGATGAGTCATATTACTATGCATAGCAGTGAGAATCTCAGGGGGATCTGACACTCTGCTAGCTTGGGAGTTGTGAATATTTTGCAGTGCTTCTTGCAGAGCATGAAATAGACATCCACCTCCTGAAGTGACTTGTGGTTCAGCCTCTTATATCACCAAGGACTGTTCAGTCCCCGGCACAGTGAGCCACCTGAGAAAGGGGGATAGAGCTATAATTCAGTTACTCACCAAAAACCACTGCACCAGGTCAGCTCAGAAGACAAATTCCCCTAAGGACTCCAGGAATGCATGGAAGTGAGACAGCGAGTAAGTGTGGCCAGGACTCCTCCTCAGGACGGGCTCCCCTGGGGATGGCCCAGCAGTGGAAACCTCTGTTCATAGAAAAATGTTTGAGAACGCTGATTTCAGCCAATCCTCTTGTTGAAAACATGTGCTGTTCTGGGTAACCAGCGCCTGTTAAGACTTCAGTCTCTGATATGTCCCCAGGCAGGCAGAGGCCCATGGAAGGGAGGTACCATGTGGAAGGCCACACAGCCAGCTCCTGCAAGCCAGAAGAGCCTCAGCCCTGGTCCCTTTGGTCCCTTGTTTTCTTTATCATTGTCCACTCTGTGTCACACCCTTCCCGAGGCTGGTCCTCCCAGCTGCTTGGCTCCCCCATGGACCTGGTGCTGGGCACCAGCTCCCCTCTACCCTGGGCCCAGCTGGCCTCTTGCACACTGACAACGCCATGTCTTCCGCAATCTGCAGCAGGCTGTTGCCCTCTCAGCATCACCTAGCAATGCCTTCATCCACATGCTTCCCTGTACACATCTAAACAGGAGGGGCCTTTCCACACCCACCACTGCCCTGGAAAGCCCTGAGGGGGACGAGCATGGCAGCACACAGCATCCTGAGAAAGCCGCTGTGCGAGTGCAGTGTCTGCTAGAAAGGGGGGTGCTGCCCAGAGGGATGAGTTTACATAGGAAGTAGGGAGGTTCCCTAGAACCTCTCTACTGGCTCAAGGAAAGGTGCTGATGACTTTCACTGCCTCTGTGCCCAGGGAGGCCTCCAAGCCAAGTTGGGGGCTCCAGGGTGGGACATGGTCTCCTGCTCCTACCTGCTTTGAGAACTCTGGCTTTATCCTCCAGAAAGCTTCAGAAGCTGCTGTTTGGGGAGCCAATTTCTAGTTACTTCTTTGCCATCAGCCCACAGGCCTGGGCCCCAACCTGAGTCCTTTGGAAAATAGAAAGTGAATTTACAAAGGTAAACACAGGGAGTTAAGCACCCCTTGGTAGGATTCAGCAAGAGAATGATCTAGATTTGGGTGAAGGAGGGTCAAGAGTCAGACAATCTAGGTGAGTGTCTTTTTTTTTTTTTTTTTTTTTTTTAATAAAGATGAGGTTTTACCATGTTGGTCAGGCTGGTCTTGAACTCCCGACCTCAGGTGATCAGTCTGCCTTGGCCTCCTGCTTGGATTACAGGCGTGAGCCACCACGCCCAGCTATTTTCTTTTTTTCTTTTCTTTTTTTCTTTTTTCTTTAAATATATGGTGGCTTTTACCAGGCCTTCCTTCTCAGAACCCTTTGGCCGTGTGTTCAGGATCCAGGTTCCTCTGGCCCACTGAAGCAGAGAGCATTAGGAGGTCTGGAGAGGCTGCACTTGACCCCGCTTCTTGGGTTACTCTGATTATAGTGAGCCATGAGAACCACTGACCAGATGGAAGCTGGTCTTGTGTCCACCCCAGGACTGATGAGCTTCTGGGGACCTTGGTTTTCTGTAAAAATGGATTGCATTGTTCCCTTTACTTTTGGAGATTTTATGGTTTACCACGCACTTCGTGTATATGGTCTCATTTGGTTCTCACAGCACCCTAGGATGTGGAAAGGGACTGCCACTGTCAGGAAAGGCAGGCAAAGCCAAGGAACAAGGATGGAGCAGCAAGAGCGGTAAGAGAGGCAGGCAGAGATGTGGGCACTGGACTGGCTGACGGGGCCTCCAAAGACTATGTACCCCCCGACACACACCTCGCAACCAAATCTTCCAGCAAGAGAAAAAAAGAGCGAGGAGATCTAGAAAGCTCTGAGAGGGGTGGAGCTGCACCTGCAGGAGGGGAAGGGAATGTCGCGTTAAGGCATTGGAAGCCAGCAGGACTGGAGTGGGGCACATGCAAGGACAGGGGGGTGGAGGGGGAAAGAGCTGGGAGGGAGGAAGCCCCATATTGGAGGGCTTCAGGGACAGGCCTGGTGCTCTTGGTAGAGTCCTGAGAAGAGCTGTTCTCTGCAGGGCCTGGAAGGGTGTGGCCGCCCCACGATGGGTGTGAGAGGTCACAGTTCCTGAAGGAGACATCTGTCAGTCTGCATCTGTTTCCAGCCAAGCAGAGCAGGAAAGGCTTTGGGATGGCTGTGAGCCCGGGCTCCGAGATGGGAAGTGATGATGGCATGAATCACGGGGAAAGAGAGCGAGGAGAAGACGACCAAGGCGTGCTCCTTTCTTCTCCCACTCACTCCTGCTCATCCCCATTGCTGTGCTTCTCTCCACTCTGTCCAGTGGCTCAGAGCCAAAAGCGGCTCCTCCCCTCACCTGCAGGAATCCTTCTGAAGGCTGACTGCCGGTCCGCACACAAACTCAATCATCTTCAAGGACCGGCAAAACTGCCTTTGGCTTGATTATCATTTTAAGGCTAACGAACATGATGTGAAATTAAGAAATAAAGAATGGATTAACATGAATGTCTTAAAGCAGGATTTCAATATTGTGTGGTAGAGAAACTTTGTATTTAGAGAACCAGGAGGCCCCTCAGAGGCCATCAAATCTGGACAGGATCCTCTTAAAAGCTATAATCTTTCAGCCTCCCAGCTTCCACCTGGCTGTCCCATCTTCCCCCTTGCCTGTCTTCTCTGTGCATGAAGAATATCTAATTTTCAGCCTTGGCATGATAATGCTCACCCCATCGTAGGAAGAAGGTCACGATTTCATTGCACTCATCCATCCTGCCCTCTTCCCCTCCCTCAGGACCCTCGAAGCAACAGTCTGGCTCTGAAGCTGACCAGTGATCCCAGGAAGTGTGGGAAGGCATATAAAAAGACCCCAAACCAAGGTTTTAGACGATGACTGTGTCAGGCCAGAAATGCCAAAAGCCAGGACAGGCAGGAGAGCTCAGGGCCCCGTGTAGTCTGCAGTGGGCCCTGGGGGCCGGCGGGCATGGCCGCTCTTAGGCCAGACACTCCGAGCCACAGCTTGGCAAGCGATGCAAACACACATTGGTACCTTCAACTCTCTGGTCCCCGCAAACAAATGCATTTGGGGGCACCTAATTTATTTTGCTCGCTCTTTCCTTCTGCATCCAAGACTTGAGTGAGAAGTGAATCAATCTCAAAGAGCAGAAAGAAGGGGAGTGAGAGCACATCCGGATCCTTGCAGGAGATGATGTCTGTGCCAACCCTTCTTCCCTTATTCCTCCCTGAAGGCCACCCACAGCCACTCCAACAGCTCCCTACCTCAGCCACCATCATCTCTCTGCCCTGGGGCTTTCTCTGGCCTCAGGAATATGACCTATCTATACATGGGGCAGACTGAGAGCACAGGGAAGCCAGTGTCCCAGGAGGAACCCAGGAGGAGTGGGAGTTGGTAGATAAACACCCAGTTTCCTCCTAGAGGGAGTGCCTCCCGGAATATCCCCATCCGGACTGACCCCGGGTGCCCACACAAACAACCTGCTCACTAACACATCTGCTCCCCTCATCCCACTTACCCTAGTTTCTTTTTTATTTTTTTAGACACAATCTCACTCTGTCGCCCAGGCTGGAGCACAATGGTGCGATCTCGGCTCACTGCAACCTCCGCCTCCCAGGTTCAAGCAATTCTCCCACCTCAGCCTCCCGAGTAGCTGGGATTACAGGTGCACGCCACCACCCCCAGCTATTTTTGTATTTTTGGTAGAAATAGGGTTTCACCATGTTGGCCAGGAGGGTCTCAAACTTCTGACCTCAAGTGATCCACAGCCTCAGCCTCCCAGAGTGCTGGGATTACAGGCGTGAGCCACCACACCTGGCCCCACTTTACCTATTTTCTACTGTGTTTCCTGGAATCACCTCATGAATAAATCATTGCACCAAAATTCTTTATTCAAGGTATACTCCGAAGGAACCCCAAATTAATATAAGATGAGGTTTAAAGAATCTAATATGGGAATCATCCACACTCCTGCATGGAATGTGTCCCTGTGTGCCACTGTTGGGTCTGCTGGGGTGACAGCTAATCATCTGAGAATCGCAGGCAAGAAGAAGAAAGGAACTGGGCCCCTCACTCCACAGACACGGCCCGGCTCTCAAGCTCTTCACCAGAAGCTGAGTCGGGCTGCAGAGCTCCCAGGCCCACAGTAAAGGCCTTTAATTTACTCTGAGCCACTTTAACCCGGCATGGAAGGCAGCGGGATTTTGTGTGAGGCAGGTGAGATTAGCTCTGAAAAGCTGAGGTGACCCCAGGCATGAATTCTGCTCAGAAGTGCCCATCTTGGGGAGTTCCAAATCATCTGTCCCAGTCCCTGCAAAGAGGCAGGATCAATCTCCAGGAAACCCTGGCAACCTGGAAAACACAAATCAGTGAGTATGGATCAAGAGAATTTCATGTTGCTTGGAAAGAAAGAAAACATCTTAAACTACTTTCCGAAGAGCCCCAAACCTGCAGCCAGCATGCAGCAGCCAGCAGAGTCCCTCCGGCACCCAGCACGTGGCCCATCGCCTGAGCACTGGGCTCACTACTCCCCAGCCTCTCTCTCCTGTGTCATTCATCTCTCTCAGTAGTTGACCTGTCGTTTCTCAGCCCACCCCTGCCACTTGGCCACTAAGCCATAGGAGAGGAGGAAGAATTCCAGGGAGAAGCTGAGAGCAGTCTGGGTGGCCAGAAAGGGAGCAGCCCCATGAGTGAGCCCGGGAGGGGAGGCAAGTTCCTAACTCCTGAGCCCACAGCCAAGGGGGTGGTCAGGGCTGGGGGTAGGGGTGACTCCTCTTGATTCCAAAACCCTTGTGTATTTTCAGGGAAATTTTATCCATATGTTTCTGATTCATTAACACTTAACTCATCAACATGTTATGTGGTGAGAGCTATTTGAAGTCCAACACGCCTGTTTAATGAGACTAAGGAGCCTTTTGACTGTCTTTTATTTTTTGAGAAAGGATGAGATTTTTATTTTCCTCTTTTCTCTCCAGAGAAGCAAGCAGTCATATCCTGTACAGTGATTCAGGGCTATGAAACTTACATCTTTGGAAAGACTATGAGACAGAAAGACGAAAGCCCGTGTATTGGGCTTGGATCTCCCTTGACCAAGGTGATCTTCTCTTGACCAATCATCTTCTCGAGCTTCTGCAAACATCCAAGCTCTTCAAGTGACAGAGAAAGATGTTTAAAGCCAAATTCTCATGACATCAAAATTCCTGAAGGCCCTAACTTATCTGTTCGTTGTTATCACCTCCTCATCATCTGTCTCTTGCCCAGACTTTAGCTACATACATTCTGTTCTTAATGAAAATCTTCAAGATGAAGTCTGGAGAAGTATGAGTGTGGCAGGGGCCAAAAGAAGTTCTTTAATGGATATGAAGGTTTAGTCTCCAGAATCAGCTGAACCTCAGACAGAGTAAGAGGCATGGATGAAAATAGGGACCAGCTGGATGAAAAGCGAAGCAGAAAGAACTGAGCATCCAGGACATGAGGTACCAGATTACTAACTAAGGAAACTGTAGAATCTTCCTTTCTGTACATCCCAAATTAAAGGGTGATCAGACTCACCTTCTTCCCACTGCGTTTCTGACCCACTAAGTTGTTAATTAGCTGCCCTTCCCAGAGACAGAAGAATGGATAAGATGACCTTCGGGAACCCTTACCCACCTCCCCCAGGGCTTTTACCATTCTCCCATTAGCCCAGCTTAACTCAGCAGAGCCCACTAAGAACAGAGGGCCATTATGTTATCTTCTCTTAAGACCACAGATTGCCAGAGATGAAAAGGTCAGAAGCCTCCAGTGCTCTCTGGGGCGGCCTATAGTTGCTGGTGCTTTGTCATGCCGGGTGAAAATAAAGCCAGAAGAGTGACCAAGGGCTCTCCCAGCAGGTAAATCTAGCCTCCAGTCTTCCCCTCTCATTCAATCAGCTCAGAGACTTGGCTGCATGCATTATTCTGGCTCCTGAGCAGAGAGACTTGAGGTGCCATGCATGAAGACAGCAGTTTAGATGCTGGAATGATTTCACACACTGAGAATGGGGGTGGGAAACAGAAACCATCTGTGTGCAAGTGAGTGTTGATGTCCATAGAATCCCAGATGCAGGGAATGTTGCTTCCTGAGTACCTCAGTCCAGTCACTCCAGCTGCAGAGATGAGATCTAGCCCTACATTGCTTTTTCCTCCCATACCAAGGTTCCAATTTATGGATGGAATAATTCCTGTGTCAATCAACACACCTTTATTAAATACCTGGGACAGAAGAAGAGAGAGAGAGAGAGAGCAGAGGCACCAAAGACAGAAGCCTCAGTCCTTTTACAACCTAACCTTAGAAGTGATATTCTATGTATTGCTTCTGCTGTATTCTTTCCACTAGAAGCAAGTCTGTAAGTCCAGCCCATGCTCAAGGTGAGGGGATTACACAAAGGTGTGAATATCTGGAGGCAGGGATCACTGGGAGCCATCTTGGAGGCTGATTGTCACAAATCCTTTCCTTGCACCTACATTCTTTTCCACATTTCTCTGCTCCCTTTAGAGCAAGNCCACCAGGGTGGAAGTCAGAAGATGTGCATCTGCCTGCCTCAGGCTCTGCCACTTTCTGGGCATAAGGCTTATGCCCCTGGGATTTCCATTATATCTGCAAAGCAAATGAGTTAAGATTTTTTTTCCGTTGGTGAGACTCCTGACATGGTTCCCTTGGAGGGTAGGTGGCAGACTCTTCAGGTGGCTAAATGCCCTGAAAAGTCAACCATCCCTGCCTTTTTTATAGAAAACCTTCTTCCTGGGCCATACATACGAGCTTCTTATTGTCATAGCCCTCCTGGGGAGGAAACGTCTTTCCTGGTGGGAATGCTTCCCGGCATCTAACCCTCCATTTGTTCCACTGAGGCCTCACCCCTTCTTATCTGTGCCTGTTCTCATTGGTACCAGAGACACTTTCGCATGTTTCTCTAATAACCTTTACATAATTTAAACATGGAGCACCTGGGCCCCTAGGTGTCTGAGTGACAGGTGACTTCCACCAATAAGCCAGATCACCAGTGCCTAATTCAGACAGATGGAGACTGTGTTCAGCTGCCCTTTGCCACATGGCTCATCCTGGGACTGACTTGTTTTGTGGCCCTTTCTTGACCAGGCACCATCAAGTCAGAAAAACTGTGAAAAGACATAGAAAACTGCATGAATTAAGGAAAGAAAGGAAGAGAAAGAGGTTAGCTGAAATTGAACTTAGCGGGGCTTAGCCCTTCGCTGGGAATCTCATTGTCTTTTCCCAGAAGACCTTTGTGAAAGTCATTATCTTTGTGGTCAGGAGGAAGAGACTTGAGCTTTGTGTCCACAGCCAGTTTGTCAAGATCAGGCCCACATCTGTTTCTCATTAAGCTGTGAACCATTCTTAAACTTTGCTTCCCAGTACCTTCGAGTAGTTTTGAGTAAAGCAAATCCTTTCTTTAACCTAGGATTAAATCCTATTAGACTTCAATGGACAAGAGCCACCAGAATTGACTTTCTTTGTCCTAACCCATGGACAGTTACCTTCCCAATGTCTTGTGTGTACTACAGGTTCTCTTCAGGGAGCCAGACTTTATTAAAACTGTGGATATCATCAGGAAAAGATCACAGGTGAGCCTCTAGGTCCCAAAGAGTGCTGGGACTCAGGACCCCATCCAGAGAGTGGATGAATTCTAGCTCTAGTCCTCTTTACCCAGGACCATGTGCTGGAGAACGTGGTTCTGGACATTGGAGGTTGGCCCGAGTGCTGCACAGGTAGGCCATCAGCCTCACCCTCCACTTCTCTCCTGGCCTCCCTCTCAGAGCCTCCCAGGACTAGGAAGAGAAGGTGTGCCTCTAGGTGCTGATGCTGACTTCTTTCTGGAGCACATACAGCCTGGCTAAAGAGGACCAGCTATGTGAAATGGGAGGCAAAGCTCTTAAATGACCTATGAATTTTACTCACTGCCATAAACACATCAGAATCATAAGAACTTGATAGTACTTCACAACCTCCCCAGATGTCTCTCCCCTGGCATTGAGAAGAGACCTTGAGAATCAACACCAAGGCCAATTTTGCCTGAGGCTCAGGCACATGCACCCCTTTCTAAGGGGACCTCCCATTGCCCATTAGTGACTCACTGATGAGAGCAGCAGCCCCAGAATGACTGCAGAGTTCTTCCTCCTCCGTCTACCTTGATCCAATGCCCAAACCCTGCCTGCCTGCTCAAGTGCACCAAATGGGTTTATGCATCATCCTTGAAGCCATGGCCCCTTTCAGTGGATCAAAGGACTGTAAGTACCAAAAGTCCAGTGTGTTCACTATGTTCACAAAGACTCCACCACTGTGGGCACTGTATTCTCCTTGAAATAAGAATTATCCCATTTAATCCTCAAAATAGTCCTATAAGGACAAATGTTTGCAAATGAGAATAAGGGAGATTAAGAAAGAATGTTACCAAGAGTCACACGGCTAGAAAGGTTGAGCCAGGATTTGATCCTAGGCAACCTGACTTAACTACCACTCCATGAGACCCCATGATATTTCACAGCTCTCAATAAATGCAGCTGGAGGTAGCTTCTGTCTGTTTGGAAAGGCAAAACCAGGACTTACAAATCAAATGTTTTTAAGAACAAGCTCTCCCTAGAGAGATTGTGTTTTCCCAAGATCAGGCATCAAATTGGTCTGAGGGCCTAGGAGATGGGGGCCTTTTTGGCACCCCTCTTTTTGAGTAGCACCCCTAGAGAACAGCCTTATACTGGGAAGTCAGCAATCCTCTCCCACTGCCCATGCCCTGACTTCTGGGAGCCCCAAGTTTTGCACATCAGGCAGGGTAACATGAGGGACAAAGGGTAAGGACTTGGAAATGGGAGTCCGGCCTCTCCATGTGTCCTTGGGCTCTCCTCAAACCCAGTGCTTAGAGATTGCAATTTGGGAACCTGAAGGAAGGACAGGGACAGGCATCTGTCATGTTGGCTGTAAAGCTACTATCTCTCATATTAGGCATCTGGCACGTACAACCTCTAAGACACTACGCAGATGTGCCCCCGATCACCTCACTGCAGAAGCTAGAGAAGAACCACAACATTGCAAGGGGCAGAATGATCCTGGAAATTAATTTTTAGATGCAGATTTTTGAGCTGTCAGGGGCCTTAGGAATCCCCCCACTATAGCTCCTTCCTTTTACAGATGAGGCAAATGAATTCTAGAGAATTGCTTTTGAATTCCTTTGTTAGGATGAATCCAGTCATGAGTAACTGGGTTCATACGTGTCCGTTAGAACTCCCACCACCTGAACCCAGGAACTCATCAGAACCTCTGTGAAGCTTTGAGCCAGCAGTCACAGGAGTAACTCTGGCCCAGGAATACATATGTTTGAAGAA